TGTGATATTCTTTTAATTTCTTTGTACTATAAAAATTATTTTTTTTTCAGATAAATAGATCAACAATGAAGGTCAGTATACTCGTTGTTAATATTGTTCTTCCAATGATCGTATCAATTGGTTTATATTGTTATGCATTTTTAAGTACTCATTGGAATTTTATTGATAATAAATTGATTTATGAATATAATATAACAAATAAACAACAAGAAAGTATTCCAACAAATAATAAAAGTATTCAATTAGAAACACAATTTGTTCGTCATGCATTTCGTTCACGATACAGTTTATTTGGTTATTGTTTGGATTATAAATGGCTTAATTTATTAACAATTAAGACACAAAAAAATCTCGAAGATAAAATTCAATCAAATTCAATAGTATCTCCTCAATCATGTAATGACTCATTTATTTATTGTCAAGAATTAGAATCTTGTGTATGTATTTGATTTTATTTGAAAAATTTTATAATTTGTTTTTAAATTTTTCAGGTAAAAAAATGTGACAATATACCTGATTGTCCATCCTATATTGATGAAGATGGCTGTAATCGTTTAGCAAATCAAACACGTTATTATTGGAAAAATGAAAAATGTATGTGGGAATCAATATCACTTGATAATCATGGTATACCACGCTATATACCATTAAATTCAAATTCACCACGTGATTTTCATTATTATACTAAACGTATACGTCATTTAATTATGCTTCTTTTATTTGTTACTGCACCATTATTAACATTTATGGCATTATTAATATTATTTTGTATAAATTGTATTAATCGATTTTATTCAATACCATTTGCATTTGTTAGTTTATTTTCTTTTGCATCATTTTTAAGTGGTGCTGGTGGTTTAGGAATATTCTTATATGAATGGATACAAGAACGTTCACATCGACCTGCTTTTACCTATGAATTTGAACAAACAGAAGCATTTATTGTCGCATTAAATCCATGGATTATTAATGTTGAACGTTTAGGTTTAGCTTTTTGGTTAACTGTTGCTGCTATTGGAGCAAGTTTATTTACAACAATACTTAGTTGTTGTTTCTGTTGTGCATTACAATCGGATAAATCTAAATTACGTATACATGTGGATAATGATAAATATGTTATTGTTCATACAAATCCATATGATGAATGAACATTGAATTTTAAATACATATGTAGATTAGTATCTTTTTTAATCATCTCTTATTAGAAGAAAAACAAAAGTTGTATATTCTTAACAGCACTACCGGTGATTATATACATCGTTTGTTTTTTTTCTTGGGGCTGTTGTCTAATTCTTTATCTCAATATCTATTGTTCGTTTTTTTTGTCTATCTTGTCTGCTTCTTCTTCCTCTTCTTTCTTTTTCTCATTCAATAACTCTACAATACAATCTTCAGCTTTTACTATTATTATTATTATTATTATTATTATTATTATTATCATTATCATTATTATTATTATTATTATCATTATCATTATTATTATTATTATTATATTTTCCCGTTGCTGTTTACTTGTATAAATAAATGTTTGTATCAATGATATTAAAACAAATAAATTACATCAAACAAAAATTTAGATATACAAATGATTGATTTGATTAAAGACATTGATCGACTTGCAGAGAATGTCAAACAAAACAAGTATCTTCTATTTACTTTCCTATATAATCAGATTTGTTTAACATCAATATATATATATATATGGGATAGACATATCTTATAGGTTATACTGGATACTTAACTCTCAACACATATAGCAATTGTTGATGATAGTATTCTTTTTTTTCTGTTTTTGAATATGAATGACTATTTGCATAATCATCATTATATTTAGTATTCATTTGTTCCTATTGCATCATAATACACTTGATAATCATACAGCAAAGGGAAAAAGAAATATATATAAAAAAAACCTAATCAACTATTATGCAAAGATTTGAATAATTTTTATAGATTATTTATGTAATATCATAAACTATCTTTTCAAGGATATATATTATCTCGTGATTGCTAGATCATCATGAGGAAAATTCAAGACGATCTATAATATTCTGGCGTCAGATTCAGAATAAAAATGCTGATGTCTTTTGTTCCAATACATTTTATTTATAAGCAATAAAAAATATTCTTTATGTAATGTGTTACAGTAATATAGTATCTATCTTCAGCTATAAGTGCCTCTATTTCAAAAAAAATGACAGCTGCTAATAAATGTAGATTCTTATTCACTTTCATGTGTAAATGTCTCTTGTCTGAATCTTGATTTTTTATTCCAATGTCAAGTATTTATGACAGCTTTGACGCATCAATCATATTCTGATGGACAAAATGATAATTTGACAATAGCAATTGAATTAATTGTTCGTACTTACTCAATTATAAAATAAATAGACGTTGATTCTGATGATAGGAACTATAACTATAATCATGCTCACTTCCCATTAACTAATGATCGCATGTGAAACAAAGTAACAATCTCACGTTAAATCATGACATATGAGATAAGACTAATTTTTTTCGCTAGGAACAATTTCAACTATTATTATTTGTTTTTCAAAATAACTATGTAACAAAGAATTTGTTAAAATGAGTGAATACTATTTCATTGAGAAGCAAACCAGAATTTTTGATTACATTTATATGCTAGATTAACAATACTCGTACTCCCCTTGTGATAAGCTTTATAAGGGAAGACGTAGTGTTATTCATTACATTAAGAGCATTCCAATAATTAGTAAATACTTTTTGCAGTGAACTGTACTATTATTTATATTGCTATTACATAATCAGTATTTATATCATCATTCCTATTAGAACTAATACAATGAGAAACTTTCGAATTACAATTCTTCTCCTCATTGATGATAATCAACTTTGAAAAAAAATAAAAAGACATGTTTTGGTAAAAATCAATTTTATTAAAAAAAAGACAAACATAAAAAAAAAGAAGATTTCCACCTTGTTTCTGACCTTGCATTATAACAAAAAAAAAGATGACAGGAGGAAGACGGACGAGGAATGAAAGACAATGGACGATGGACGAAGGATAGCCAATTAATAGTGAGGGTGTGATGATGCACAGTCGCAGTGGTACCACTAAAAGAGAAAAAAGAAGAAAATAACTAATACCCAGGTCGAACAATTCAGCACGGAAACAGCCGGTTCCGTGATATTCCGGAAATTTTACGGAAGCAGTATTCCCGTTAAATGGTGGATTTCCTGAGGATTTTAGCTGGAAATTTATGGAAAACTGCTTCATGAATCATCGACCTGGGTAGATCGCTCTACAAAAAAAGATTATGATACTTACGTGGTAACCACTGCTGTATAGCATATAGATATAATTTCGGCCCGCTATCAAATTTTCGGTACATTTGCAGCAAAAAAGTGTGGATGATGGTGCCATTCGTATATCACGCTAAAAGATATGAAATATGAGTATGTATTATTTTCTCTATCGTTTTTGACTTGCCCATTTTTCTACTGGTGCTGCTGATTCGGGTACTGGTGTTGCTGATTCCTAAGAAAATAAAATTTTATAAATTTTATTTTCATTTAAAACTTACTTGGTTCATTTTGAATCTATCTGAAATATAAAGTGTTAATGGTAATATATGTGTACATATATATAGAAGGAGATAGAGAGAAAAAATATTCTAAGAGTCCACTTATATACATGTGACTGGATTTTCCCTCGCTGGGAGGGAGAATCATATGGAAAAAAGTAGTGTGTTTACTTGTTTGTCGTCTGATCAGGATGTAGGTGCCTCTTCTCTTAACTCACAGCCACACTCTCAAGATTTTACTCTTAATCATTCAATATTATATTAAAGTCTAAAAATAATAAACATTATGGTAAAATAATTAAATTAGATACATAATTGTTGATATTTTAAATGAAATAATATCAACACCTACCTTCATCTTCAGATTATTTGAAAAGAGTACATAGGTCTGTTTTTAAGCGAAGCTTTTTTTTTATTTTTTTTGTTGCAAAGTCTTTTAATTTGACAGAAAAATATAGTAATATTTTGTCTCTTTGATCTGTCAATTGTATGTCTCTGTTTCGTGCAACTAAGAATTTTTTTTAAAGCATGCGAAGCATAATTGTTTTTTTATATAGTAGTAATTATGTATAAATGATCGACCGTTCTGGAGCGATCTGTCTTGGCGATTTTCGAACGCAGCATACGATGATTCTTGTCAACGCCGATATGAGAAGTTTTAAAACGGATAATGGACCACCCAGAATAAAAAACATTAGAAAGACAATGTAAATTGTATTAATTTTCGTATTGTTAGCAATGGTCTGATAAGAACAGTATTCTGGACTACACGCTTCGTAGTACCTTGAATACCATAATGTCCAAATATAGTCTTCTGTCATTAAATTAGATAGAAGATTGTTAATAGTTGTCGTTTTCGGATACCGACTTAGCGATGGCGAGTCGACAAGAGCTAATACAAGTATTGGCGATGATAGTAAATAATTTTGTAATTTATCTATACAGGTTTGATTATAAAAACATTCAAGAGTTGATTGAAGTAATGATTCAACCACATTGCATCCTGTATAAAAACCGGTTACATTGAATAATCTTGTCATAGTATTATAATCGTAAATCGACGACTGATGAATACAATTAGCTGAAAGAGTACAACTGCAGCCATCGTAATTCTTTGCCATCACGAATACTTTATCCGTATCTTTGCTTCTATACAGCTGATAGTTTGTTTGCAGTCCAGAAAACAATGCATTAACTTGAGTAGTGTCTTGAATCATCTTGAGAGATAATAAAAACCTATCTGACATTGATGACTGAAACTGATTTAGTATTGATGAAATGTGTTCTTGAAACATTACTTGAGGAATGGCAAATTTACTGAAATATTGACTTGAATAGAACTGGACGAAATTGTTCTTAAGCGTGTTCTTACCTAGTTCACAAAACATGCGTAAGGCTCGAAATGCATGTGCGCCTGTTATTCGAAAGTCGTCCCCATAAAATGTAGATCCATTGTCCGTAGCAAGATGACGAATCCATACATCACTAACAAAATCACTGCTACATACTTGATGAAATAGGGGGGAGACAGAAATAAAATTGTCGTAATTCATCGAAATTTCTGTGCATGGACATTGCAGAGTCCGTGAATGTAACGTATACAAGTTGTTATATTGGACGAGACTAGGTCGCATAACAACTAAAGTTTGAATAGTTTCTGTATCCGTCAGAAATCGTATATAGAAGAAAGGAATTATTAATAATGCGATTAGTAAAATAATAAATAATATTGTTGTTATTCGCTCTATACGAAGAACGCATTTGTCGGTTGAAGGTGGCACAGATGGGAACAAATTAAAACATTGGATGCATTCCTTTAAATTATTCCAACATCCAGAGTTTTGACCAGGAATGTTGGCCACTAAAAAACAAAAATTTAGAAATGATGAAGCTATTAATCAAGAGACAGTTCGTGATCGATAGAACCCTTTTGTGAGAGCTGTTCACAATATTGTTCGTAATAGAACTCGAAATTACTATTTCTAGCGAAATGCATCATATAAATTTATACGTACTATTTATTCCAGGAGCCAATAGCCGTTACGATGGATGAGGATATGAAATGTGTCGTTGATAGTTATTATATGTTGATGTATTCACTGAATATATGTACTAGGAATTGTTCATTGTTAAATTGAAAAAATAAGCTGAATAATCTAAATATTTTAAACATATCACTGATCTTTCTTTGTTTCCTATATCACAACTTGTGACTAAAATAAGAATCTTTTGCTGACTTTTTTAGTAGTTATAAGAGAGAAGGTTTATAAGATGCATACTTCCTTACCGTGATAAAATTTATTTCTAACCTTCTGGCGCAGTTATAAAAGTGTTTTCTTCTATATCATCTAACTTATATAAGAAATAAATATTTTTCTTTTTTCTGCCATAGCTAAGAGACATTCCTATGTAAATAACAACGATCATGATAAAAGTCATTCTTTTTTCCACCTCCCTGCTATGAGTATACAACATCTCCATCAAATTTATAATTAAGATTTAGTCTTTTTTGTTGATCTCATGAGTATTTGTTTTATTCGGTATATAACATAAAAGAATTTAAAAAAAATCATAGACTAAGTCATTCATTATAAAATATAACTATAATTGCACATCTATCATTTAAAAACTCATAACAATCGACAGGACTTTATTGTAAAGACGGAAAAAGTAAAGAAGCTTTTCTTATCCAGTAAGCATATTAAATAAATACCATAAATCCACAAGATTTTAGAGTAAAGTTGGAGAGAAGAAAAAAGCTTTTATTACGTAGTTATTATATTTAATAAATCTTATTAAAAACAATGGACATGACTTTATTGTAAATGTGGAAAAAGAAAAGAAAACGTTTCTTACCTATTTATCATATTTAATAAATACTGTAGAAATCACAAGATTTTACAGTAAAGTTGAAGAGGAGAAAAAAGCATGTTGACAATGTGGGTGGATGTGGGCGTGGATCTGGTATAGATGTGACTGTAGGCCAAGGTGAAGAGTATCGCTCTTACCTTCAACCACACCCACCCATACCCACACCCAAATTTGGAGCTCACTTAACTTGACCCGGAATATACCAACGAAGCCTCTCAATAAACTAATCATATTCATATTTATAAATTTATAAAAAAATTAATTGATTTTTTTCTCTCATAATAATACAAAGTTGATCAAATATATAAATACAACAAAAAACAATATCGAGTCTTTCTTTTAGTGATTAAATTGTTGGTCTGAGCGTCAGTAAAAAACAGAAACTCGAATAATGAAAGAAGGCCGTATGCCAGCAAATAGATTAAGTGTTGAAAAACTACCTCGTTATCGAAATTCTCTTAACCATCAAGTAAATTTTGTGATCATTCTTTTGTTTTTATTATTGATTGATATATTAATTTAGAGTTCTTTACCTACGATATTAAATACTCAAATGTCGTCAGTTATCCATGTATCTGTTAGACCACGTCAAAGTGTTCGTTCAATTTTAAATCATAAAGATAATAAGGAGAGTAATAATGTAAGAAGATCTTTAATCATTTTGTTTTTATTTTATTTCATATTTATATAGAGTTTGTCACATTTAACAGTTCATCAAAATTATAATAGATCAAATAAATCAGTTATCGGGGAAGATTCTAATAAGCAATTAACAAGTACAACACATCCTGTTAGTGTAATTAGAACTCTTCGCCCACCATTCCAGGTAAGACTAAACGGATTTAAAGTATTATCAAAATACGATGAAAATAATCTATTTGTTTTCATCAAAAAAGAACAAGAAGCTGATCAAAGTCATTCTTTATTGAGATTAAATTATTTTTAGAAAAATTTCTTTTATTTGTCAGACGTCTAGTTTTCTTTTCTTTGGTTTCTTCAATAATAGTACATTCTAAATTAATTTGATGAAGAAACATCGAAATAGCAAAATATAAGTTTCTCACCTATGAAAAAGTAATCTTTTCTTTTGGTGACAGTTTATTTTCTCAAAAGTTTGTTCATAGTGCAAAAGACAACAAACTAATTAACATAGAAAAATTGAATGAACCTATCTAGAAAGAAAATATTTTATATATTTATTATAGTTTCATCAAAATCCATCGAAAAGTATTAATATTCCAAATGAAATAGGAAAAAATATTGATCATCAAGTAATTCAACGAATCTTTTATTTTAAAATAGAAATATTTATTTTCTAGAATAATATTAATAATCAATCGACATCAAATATTCATATTATAGATAAAGATGTAAGATTTCATATCAGTTTTTGTTTCATTCTATTCAATAATCTTCGAAATATAGCGGTCGGGAACAATAGAAGCTTTAAGAAATCCAATAAATGATCATCATCGTTCAATCAACAATAAAAAGAAACAGTAAATACAAATATTACAAATTAATTAGTTCATAATATTTAACATAGGAATTTTATTGAATATTGTTGTCGGTGTTCACGACGACGCGCACTACTGTCTTTTATTACTCTTCTTTATCTTATACTTCTTGGTATAATTCTAGCTATTATTCTTATTATTCTAATGAGAAAAACGAAAAAAACTACAAATATACCTTGTAAATATAATTTTAACATGGAAAACGTTTTTTCTTATTATTGTTGTTTTAACTCTTGAAGCTTATCTTCGATGGAATACAAGTGGTATAACTTTGTTTGGTACTGCAGGCATAAGAGGAAATACATCGTATCAGTTTTATAATCCTTGTAGTCTAGTATTTGATTCATTTGGAGATCTTTATATTAGTGATACACTTAATAATCGAGTTCAAAAATGTAATATCAGAAATTTAACTTGTACAACAGTAGCTGGTCAAGCAAATGCAGTGTCAGGAATAAATATGAGCTATTTGAATTTTCAAACATTTCTCTATATTGATACAAATAATAATTTATATATAGCAGATTCAGGTAATCAACGAATTCAATTATGGAACTATGGTGCAACTTATGGAAAACAAATTGCGGGTATTACAGGTTAATAAATCCTTTTTTCCTTATAGAAAAATTATTAATTTTGATAAAATGTTTTAGGTTCTTCTGGTTCTGTATTAAATCAGTTTAGTGGTCCATATGGTATTGATATAGATCCAAATTCTAATGCAATATATATATCTGACTTTAATAATCATCGTATTATGAAATATTTTCCTGGTAATTTAACAGGTATGATTATTGCTGGCGGTCATGGTTCAGGAATAAATAACACACAATTAAGTTATCCTAATGGTCTTCTTTTCGATTCATCAACAAATAGTCTTATTATTTCAAATTATGGTGCAAATGATATTATTCGATGGATAATAGGTGATTCTAAATGGACAATAATTGCTGGAAGTTCAACAGGATTAAGTGGTACTAGTTCAACACTTTTTAATCATCCAACAAGTGTTACATACGATCCAATGGGTAATATGTATGTAGCAGTTATGTTTAATCATCGTATACAGCTATATTTAGTTGGCCAAACAAATGGAACAACAATTGCAGGAATTTCGGGTATACCTGGAAATAATTCAACTATGTTATACTATCCTAAATCAGTTGCATTTGATAATCAACTTAATTTATATGTTGCGGATGAATTAAATCAAAGAATACAACAATTTTTACGTTATTAAATTAATTAATATTTTTTATGTTTTTTTTATCTATTGAAAATGATATACAATTTAAACAAATATTATTATTATAGAAACCATAATCAATCATGTTTTGTTTTTTCAATATTCTTTATTCATTAATTAATAATAAAATATAAACTAGATTCTGTTTATTTACAATATTCTTTCTATTGTTTTCCTTTCTTTCAAATCAAATAGTAAGTCAATTTATAGAATTTTTATAAACGAAATTAATTAGTTCATAGAATTCTAAACTAACACAAAATGAAAAAGTATTATTGTATATTAATAGAAATCAGAAGGATTTGATTATACTATGTATTTACTACTAATCCTTCGAAATCATAATACATGTTTAAATATTTTATGTATTTTATTGAACCTCTGATTATTTTAAGCCTTCTCCGCTTACTCTTACATATTTTTGAGTGTAATATTTGAATCACTTATTGTCGAAATATCTGTATTTTCAAATTAAAAAAGGAAAATTGCGTGAAAAATGCAATATAAATCTATTATTATTATTAAAAACGTGCTCTAGGAGAGAACCAACATTGATTAACCCACATAGGTTTAATTTGTACATTTTTTAATAAAGATTTTAATTGTAAAAAATTGAATCAAATGAATCATTTAAACAAACAATTTTATTCAACTTCAATCCATTGTTGTTCATTAACATAAAAATATTCTCTTTTCTTTTCTCCTAAAAAATTCAACAAAAATTTAACATTCATTTATTCGATTTTTTTAATGAAAACTTACAAATTCAATTCAAGGTTCATAAAAAACCAAGAAGATTTTTCTTTGTTATTTTCTTATCTAAAGTTTATTCGATTTCTTTCATTGATTCTCAACAATAAAACTTTATTTTTCCTTTTATTTCTCGATCATTTATTGAATAAAATTTTTTTTCTTTTATTTCAAAATCAAAATTTCATTCACAAAATTATTTCAAATCTTTGAATTCGATAATTAAAATGATCAGCAACATAAAGGTTTCCTTCGTTGTCAAAAGATAAACCTATGGGATCATTCAATTGATTTGATTGAATTCCTCCTCCATTTCCACCGACAACAATTTCACCTTCTTCTTTTCCTTCACACCAACGCATCACCCGATGATTTCCACCATCTGTCACATAGATTTGACCCAAATCATCCACAATTATTCCTTGAGGTGATAACAATTGACTGAGATTTCCTCCATAACCATTTCCTCCGGCCACAACAATTCCTTCTTTTGCATCTTTTCTCCATTTCATCACACGATGATTACCTGCATCTGTTACATAAACAGATTGATCTTCATCAACAAAGATAAAAGTAGGAATACTGAGTTGATTGAGTTGATCTCCTTGTCCATTTCCACCTGACACTACAATTCCTTCATTGTATTCTCACATTTTCCATCGTCTCACTTCATTCCTAATCCAATCAGAAACAAAAAGAAATCCATATTTATCCATTGCCAAGCCATAGCAGTCAATATTGTCAATGAGAATTTGTTGATTTTGATTCAACCATTGAATCACTCGTTTGTTTCCCCAATCAGCAATGATGACCGAATGGTCTTGTTGATCAACAATCACATCTGTTGGATAATTCAATTGATTCATTCGATTTCCTTGTCCATTTCCACCTGCAATGATTTGTCCTTCCTTTGCATTATATTTCCATTCAACAATACGATGATTCTCAACATCGGCAATGAAAATATTCTTCTTTTTATCAATAAAGATCCCAAAAGGGCGATTGAGTTGATCTAATTCTTCTCCGTATCCATTTCCACCAGCCACAGTGATGGCATTTTGTTTCCATTTAAAACTGATCTTATCTAAAACAAATGAGATTTGTAGTTACATCTATCAGTTCTCGAGTCACTCACTTGTCTTTGGTGGACAGATATTTTGTTTACTCAGTGCAATTGGATAACAGAGAGGTAGTTCATGACATCGAGGATGTTGAACACAGACTGTATTGAGTTGAGCACATGAATTGGTTGAAGCATTACACGGTACGAGATGAGAACATGTTGGCCAAAGAAAGCCACAGACGCCAGTATCATCACTAGTTCCTACCCGGTGAAAACAACCACAGGCACTATTTGTCGAGCATCGATCATACTGAGCAACATTCTCGCATATTTGAGATTTTATTTGAACTATGAGAATGATAAACTAATACATATAAACATATAAAATAAAATAGAAATCAAACCTGTTATAGTAAAATATGAAAATAATGGATGTTAACAAAAATAGTGATAAAACTGAATAACTATTTACCTGAGAAGAATGAAAACGACATAGCATTAGATATTGATTGTAGTCATAGTTGATTTTAGAATAAGAGAATATGATGAAAAAATGTGTATTTTTATTTCTAAAACACCGAGGGAATCTTCAGTCATTTAAATCGAAATATAACCGATGGATCTATTCACATATCGATAAGTGGAAATTTGATATTGCTTTCATTTCTTCTAATTGTTGTGATTCTATCCTATAACAAATACAATAAAAATGTAATTAAAAAGTGCATAGGTGATCATGTGATAAAGTTAAGATTCAAATGGTATTATTTTGATTTCAAAGAGAGAATATTATTTTGATACGTTTTGAATATGAAAGATATCAATAAAACTAAGCCGAAGCAGTTTAAAGGCCCGTATTAATCAACTATAAAATTTTCGTCTCTATACTTAGATAAAAGTGATGATTATCAGCAGTAGCTACTCTCAGCATTCGAAAGAACTATTGTATTTAAATGTAATTTCAGATATAATTTTGATTTGTATTTAGTAAGAAAAGCAGAACGTTTTCAGTAGTATTATTCGGTATAGTACAAACATTTAGAAGAAATTTAAATTACAAAAAAAGGAGTATGAGTATGAATGTCTTCCCTTTATATCCTAGAGTCAACTTGACAGCCAAACCCACACTCATACCCTTGGCTCCTTACTTCCGCATTACTAGAAAGAACTTTTCAGGGTTTTATTATTATCACAGAGAATCTCTTATGGTTCAATATTGTCGCCAAGAATCTTTCGGACTCTTTCTACTAGGATACAAATGTTTTTATGTTTTGTTGCCATTCGAGATAACCTTAAGAACATAACTGTTATCATAAAGACGCTCACCACAGTTCTACACGTCTTACAGAGCTATAAGACAGTTCCATAAAAGCTCCTTTATTACGTCAGTGAGCCATCATCCTCATCACGACAAAGTAGAAATCATAAGCAAACATTATCATCCCAATATACATTAAACTTGAAAACAAGCACTTTTATTCACTTTTTTTAAATTACAAGAAAATAAAAATATTTCCATGCTCATCAATAGCAATTTATTCGTCTTGGAAATACATTTAATATTACCATTTACGTTTTTTTCCTCTTTCATTTCGTGTAACGAATTGATTGATATCCTGCATCGTATCTGCTCGGATCCCATATTCCCAGAGCTCCAATATGGTGAGTGTCTAGATGAAAAGGTGGAGGTACACACATGGTATAGATAAAGAAATAATGACAATTACCGTGTTGTGCTGTAATGCTTCAACCAAATATTGCACTCCAACATCTCCGATTTGATTATGCGAGAGATTTAGTTTTGTGAGTGTCTAGATGAAAAAGTGGAAGTAAAGATTTGGTATAGATATAGAATTAATGAAAGTTACTGTGTTGTGTTGTAATGCATCAGCTAAACGTTGGGCTCCAACATCTCCAATTTGATTATATTGGAGATTTAGTGTAGTTAATGACTAAATGAAAAATTGAAGGTAAAGACATGATATAGATAAAATAAGAGTTACTGTATTGTGTTGTAATGTATCAGCTAAATGTTGTACTCCAACATCTCCGATATGATTGTTCGAAAGACATAGTGTGGTGAGTGTCTAGATAAAAAAATGGAGCTGAAAACATGGTATAGATAAACAGAGAATAAAAGTTACTGTGTTGCGTTGTAATGCATCAGCTAAATGTTGTGTGCCAATATCTCCGATTTGATTGCACCAGATATTTAATGTGGTGAGTGTCTAGATGAAACAGTTCAGGTAAAGACATGGTATAGATATAGAATGAATGAGAGCTACTGTATTGTGTTGTAATGCATCCCCCAGATATTGTGCTCCAACATATCCGATTTCAATCCGCGAGAGACCTAGCGTGGTAAGTGTCTAGATAAAAGAATAGTGGTGAAAGATTGTATAGATAAAAAGAGAATAAGAATTACTGTATTGTGTTGCAATGCATCACTTAAACATTGTGCTCCAACATCTCTGATTTCATTGTGCGAGAGATCTAGCGTTATGAGTGTCTAGATAAAATAATAGAGGTAAGAACATGGCATAGATAAGGAGAGAATGATAATTACTGCATTGTGTTGTAATGCATTGGCTAAGTATTGTGCTCCAAACACTCCAATCTTATTATATTGAAGATTTAGTGTGATTAGTGACTAGATGGAAAATAGGAGGTAGAGACATGCTAAAAATAAAGAGAGAATGATAGTTACTGTGTTGCATTGTAATGCACTACCCAGAGATCGTGCTCCAACATCTCCGATTTTATTGTGACAGAAATCTAGGGTGATGAGTGTCTATATAAAAGAATAGCGATAAAAATATGATATGAATAAAAAGGGAATGACAATTACTGTATTGTGCTGTAATGCATCAGCTAAACGTTGGGCTCCAACATCTCCAATTTGATTATATTGAAGATTTAGTGTAGTTAATGACTAAATGAAAAATTGAAGGTAAAGACATGATATGGATAAAGAGTTACTGTATTGTGTTGTAATGCATCAGCTAAATGTTGTGCCCCAACATCTCCGATATTGTTGCTCGAAAGACATAGTGTGGTGAGTGTCTAGATGAAAAAGTGGAAGTGAAGACATGGTATAGATAAACAGAGAATAAGAGTTACTGTGTTGCGTTGTAATGCGTCACTCAAATATTGTGCTCCAACATCTCCGATTTCATTGTTCCAGATATTTAGTGTGTTGAGTGTCTAGATGGAAAAGTGCCGATACAAACGAACATGTTATACATAAACAGAGAATAAGAGTTACTGCATTGTGTTGTAATGCATCACCTAAATATTGTGCCGTAACATCTCTGATTTGATTTTTTGAGATATTTAGTGTGGTGAGTGTCTAGATGAAAAAGTACAAGTAAGGACATGGTGTAGGTACAGAGACGATATAGTCGGTCAGTGTGAGTTGAGTCTATATCATTGAAATAAATTTTGTTCTGGCGATGGTCTCTGAGCTATGGATACCACTATGAACATGTCAAGGATTTTTGATGATGTATAGGAGCCGATAATATTTTGTGAAAACTACGGAAAATGAATTTTTGGAAGAGATTGATAACTAATAAATTTGTTTTAATGACACATAGTTTATTCATGTATATCTTAATGAAATCATTCTGCGTAAATAGAGACTATAGGAATGAAAAATAATTTATGAGTCAATAGATAAAAATTAGACTATCATGATAGAAAAAATCTTACTTGATATCGATAATAAGTGTCCACGATGTCGTTGAATCGTTGACACACATTTCTCATTGAGCATATAAGTGCCAAATCCGATTGTTGATCCAGAATTCGGTAGACAAGTTCTACCGGTAATGTAAGGAAGTTGGTGACCGTTTGATTTACCATGGCAGACTGCTGATGAAATATGTGCTGTATAGGCTTGTATACTGGTTATATCATGTGTCGTTATTTTTTCTTCCAATTAAATGTGTAGATGTTTGTTTTATCATTGGTTTCACGTGATTTTGCAATTACTTGCTGAAAGAAAAAAACGAAAAAGAATGATGTCAAGTACCGAATAACAGAATTGGCATAGCAACTGTAAACAACAGTTTTGTTAAGATTAATTTATCGATATAAAATGGTATCATCTTGAGAGTGTGGGTGTGGATGGGTGTCGCTACTTTATTTATTTAATATCCACACCCACACCTACACCCTCAAGATGATGAGTACTACTTGATTGGTTCAATTAGATCATGTATTGATAAAATATCAGTATATACATCGCAGCTTTCTTAACTTTTTCTTTATTATACGAAGCCTCGTTCAACACTAGAACAATTAAATTTCATGTAAGTTATTCTTTTTTATTTTTTTCGATTTTTCCCCTTTTTTAGATTGTTTTGTTCGACGACCACTATTTAAGATAATATTTTTTTCTCTTCTTATATTACAGGGAACACTTTCGTAAAGAATTAGAAACGCAAATATATCTGAGATAGTCATTTATCCACGTACGTATGTATGTGTATTACCTTATCAGTCGTCTATGTCAATTGCGTTGTTATTATTTATAGAGTTCTTTTCTGTACGCGCGCGACTCACTGAAAACTAGCATTAATTTAAAAATAATTGAACTAAATATTCTTCTATTTATTTATCGACTATTCTTTATAATTTCTTTTTTACAATTTCAATATTGTACTTCGCACCTTTAATATAAGGATGAGTTGGAGGTAATGCACTTTGTAGTATGCCTAGAGCACGTTCAAAATATGAAAGTGCTTTCGAATAGTCTTTCATATTGTTATAAACCCAACCGATGTTGTTGTACGAAGTAGCCAAATTAGAACCATCTGAAGGAAGGTTTTTTTGATTGATTTCAAGTGCTTTTTCGTAAAATGAAAGTGATTTCAAATGCTCTCCCATGTGGCCATACACACTACCGATGTTGTCATATGAAGTAGCCAAATCAGGATGATCTGCGGCAAACGTTTTTTGTTTAATTTCAAGTGCCTTTTGGTAAAATGAAAGTGCTTTGGAGTACTCTCTCAGGCTGTGATAAACCAAACCGGTGTTACTGTACAAAGTAGCCAATTCAAGATAATTTGAAGGAAGAGTGTTTTGTTGAATATCAAGTGCTTTTTCGTAAAATGAAAGTGCTTTGGAGTACTCTCCCATCTTTGTATACACCAAACCGATGTTGTTGTATAAAATAGCTAAATCAGGATGATTTGAAGAAAGAGTTTTTTCTTTAATTTCAAGGTCTTTTTGGTAAAATGAAAGTGCTTTTGAGTACTCTCCCATGTTCTCATACACCCAACCGATATTGCCGTATGAAGTAGCCAATGAAGGGTGATTTGAAGAAAGACTTTTTTGTTGAATATCAAGTGCCTTTTTGTGAAATGAAAGTGCTTTGGAATACTCCCCCATGCTGTCATACACCAAACCGATGTTGCTGTACGAAATAGCCAATAAAGGGAGATTTAAAGGAAGCGCTTTTTGTTTAATATCAAGTGCTTTTTGGTAAAATGAAAGTGCTTTCGAACAGTCTTTCATACTGTAATATATACCGGCGATGTTATTGTATGAAGTTGCCAAGGAAGGGTGGTTTGAAGGAAGCGTCTTTTGTTCAATGTCAAGTGCTTTCTCGTAAAATGAAAGTGCTTTGGAGTATTCTCCAATCTTTGTATACACCGAACCGATGTTGTTGAATGAAGTAGCCAATGAAGGGTGATTTGAAGGAAGAGTTTTTTCTCGAATTTCAAGTGCTTTTTCGTGATATGAAAGTGCTTTGGAGTACTCTCCCATATTCTCATACACTGAACCGTTGTTGTTATATGAAGCCGCCAAATCGGGATGATTTGAGGGAAGTGTTTTTTGTTTAATTTCAAGATATTTTTCGTAAAATGAAAGTGCTTTTGAGTACTCTCCCATATTCTCATACACCAAACCGATGTTGTTGTATGTAGCCGCTAAATCGGGATGATTTGAAGGAAGCGTTTTTTGTTTAATTTCAAGTGCTTTTTCGGAATACATAATAGCCTTTTCATAATCAGCTTGATTTCGATGGACAAATCCTAGCTGATGATAATAAATCGCTCTTTTACTCTCATCAGATGTCTGTTCAAGTAATACGTTATAAAGTCCTTCAGCTTTATTAAATTGACCAATTTTAAGCAATAAGTTACCCAATCTTTCCCATCCACTATTACCACTAGCTTCTTCTCGTATCCGATCAGTAAGTACTCGTAGTTGTTGATCATCATCCGACGTTAATTGCAATTCAACTTGATAAAGCTCATTGTTGTTGTCCATTTGTTCAATTGCGCCCACTCGAAAGACAGAGTGCATTGAGAAGAGAATTTCGTTTTCGTCCTCTATAGCACTAAGATGCTGGATGGAGGCAAATGGCACTGATTTGACACGAGGATTAATTAATATCTTGAAAAGAATGCCGACCATGTTCGTAGTTTCTGAGACACTTCGGGCAAATACGAGAGATATGTCTTGCTCCATACTAGTTGATAAAAAGTTATTGAAGGACATCAAACCACCTTTTGTTTTTTGGAGTTTTTTGAAATTAGCTTTAGATAGACCTTGCCCTCGGTAAACTATGAATGGTTTATCATGATAACTATTAACCTGTTGTTGATGTAGCTGTTGAATTTGTTTATGAAGATCATGAATAAAAAAACCCATATTAATAATAGTGCTGCCTTCCATCGACCGAAGTCCATCATTGAGCATACAATAGATAAATGGAGTGAAAGTATACCACCAAATAGCTGAGTGAGGCTGGTATTCGTTTTCAAATCGATCAATAATAGTTGTGGATCCGCAGTCGTTTTGTCGACTGTAAGTAGTAAAGTCTTTGATAGCCTGTTTATTATGTTCCATATCAAGAAGAATATCTTTGAATATTTGGGTGTACATAAATGTTGGCTCCAACTGATTTAAATTATCAGTTGAATTCATTTCATCTGCTGTGACAAAACTAATGGCTATCGAGTCTCGATGGTATTGTTTGATATCCAGTTGTAATCCTTCACATAAGTCATCGATCTTAGTATGAACGCTCTTGATTTTTTTCCACTTTTTTAGCACTTTTTCGGGTAGGATTTTAGTATCGTCGAAGATATAAATACCATGCAGCTGAGGAATATCATTAATGAGGGGCATTATTTGTTGAGACATAGTATTCTTGACAACGAGAAAAGACTTGATGTCTTCTTGAGTATCGGTAAGATAGTCGATGCATACATCTCGCTGCTTAAAGACATTGACATTGTCAGTAATGGTTTTTAACTGTATCAAAATATTTTGATAATCTTTATTTTCTTCTTCCATGCACTCATCTAACCAGAGGAGTGAATAATCTTGTACCATATGTCTTCGCCGTTCGTTGCTATTAGGTACTGCGTTCATTTCGTATATTGTGCGACAATAAAACGGTAATTTTGTGAGTTTTTCGATAGAGTAGATAATTGTGCAGGAGATGAATAAACTTTATTATATATGAGAATCAGATTTCTTTACGACAATGCTTGTAAAGCGTAATTAGCCACTTTTTATATTTATTACTACTATCTATAATAAAGTCCTGCTCAGTGTATCACTCAGTTTATATTGTAAAGCTATGTGAGTTGAAGGAAGAAAAACAGTATTCATTTTCCCCAACTTTCTTCATAGATAAGAGATAATATCATCACTGACAAAAAAAACACATATTTTCTTCATAAACAATGCAAGTCCGTTAGCGATCACATTGTTCTCGCTTATTTTTTTATTCCGTTTGAAAAAATGTTATTCCAGACAGCATTCTTTCATATCGTTTCTTTTTTTCTTTTACTTCTTCTATTTCGTTATTGTTTTTGATATGGACGATATACGTTGGTATTCTGTCTTTTAGGAGTCAGTTCTTTTTTTGTTCTTTTCTTTGGAAGTAGTCTTTTTCTTTTATTCAAATAAATACAATTTCAAGTGCAGTTTCTCTTACACTGAAGTAGAAGAATCATTCCACTACCTATAGAGAGCTCATAACGCCAAAAATTTGACAGCATTTGTTTTGTGTTTGCATTGTATATTGAAATCACAGAAGGATACACATTTAATGATACATTTTCTTATACTCAATCTTCTACGCATATTAACAGTAAAAAGAGTAAATAATAGTTAATATTAAACTCGTTGTTCGATAAACCAACAATTTATTTCATATTAAAATTACAATGTAAATTAGCTGAAGTATCCGTCGTTGTTAGAAAAATTGAGGATATAAATTCGGATGAAACATAGTAATCAGGGTGTAAGGGTGAGATAAATAAGATACACTCATGTCCACATCCTCGAGTTTTTGAAGGTGCTTGCAACAAAATCTGCTTTTCTTGTATAAATTTCTATCTAGACAAATGATAAAATCTATGTTCTTCTCATAAGAATAGTACATCATGGAATGATCTACCAAAACATATAATAGTAAAACGCTATTCACTAATTCTAATGGCTTTCTACACACTTGATATGTATAAAAAAAAGAAGAATACATAGTACTGATACTTCTCTCCATATCTCAGATAATAAAAACATTTATATTTTGCATGTATAACAAATTAAGAACTGGATTCTTCTCTCAACATATTTATCGTCGTAAGTACTATTATAATTATACAAGTTATATTTATTTTTATTTTCAAAGATCTTTTGAAACGAATAGGCAGTATCAAATACAGTTTCCTATTTCCCTACACTTGCTTTCTTATAATTATATGAAATAATTATTTCCTATGAACGATCAATTCGATGAAAATAAATCAGAAATATCTGTCGTGATAATTTTATAATATTGACAGAATTTATTATTTCATCATCATTCACAGTGATGATACTCAGATAGACACCTTTGAAAAAAACACAATAGTTTTTTCACAAGTTATACCGACTGAATATTTAGAGTTATATAACACAATATGGTACAATATTTCCTCCAAAAAAATAAAAGTGACACACACATTTATGTATCATCAATCTTATCTACAATAACAAGCATCGTGTCTCTCTTCGACATAGAAAAGATGCTAAAGTAACGTCATTTGTTGTTAGTCATATATAGACTTTTTCATTTTCATTCTTTTATTTGGGGTGTCGGTCATGCATTTATATTGATCAATTTGAATCAATTTTATTTTTCTCAACAATTAGAAACTATATGATTCATATTGAAATCAGTCGAAACTATATGATATAAAAGATAAAATAGAATCGGGAACAATGATAAAAAAAAGAAGAACAAAATCTAATTAATCTATTGTCCAAATGTAATACCAGCACTAACATAAACATTATAAATTTTTTCAATCGCATTGACATATGCTGCTGTACGAATATCAAGTCCAAGATTATAACGCATTGCTGTTTGCATAATAGCACGTGCAGATTTTTCCATTGTTTGTTCAAGACCTGAATGTACAATATCTTTTTCTGAAGCACCAGCCATACGTTTAAAAAATTCTTCACTTGGAACCTATAAAAAATAGGATTAAAATAAATTTTATAAGAAAATAAAAAACGTATTCTCTATTTACAATTGGAATTTTTCCACCCATACGACCAAATTTAGATTCTAATGAACCTTGAACTGATTCTATATGAAAATAATAGTAAGATTTATCAATATACAATATTTTAATAATATACCAAGTAAAGAATAATTAGTATCACGTTGATATTTAAATGTTAATCGACCATAGCTGACATGACTTAAATTTTTTAACCATTCAAAATATGAAACAGTTACACCACCAGCATTGATATATAAATCTAATAACAAAAAAATATCATTCATTTCTTTTACACTATATATTTAGATATCAATCACCTGGAATAACAAGTACATTGTTTTTCAATAAAATGACGTCAGCTTCAGGTGTTGTTGGTCCATTGGCACCTTCAGCAATGATTCGAGCTTTTATACGATGAGCATTTTCTGATGTAATTTGTCGTTCACTTGCTGCTGGTACAAGAATATCACATTGTTCGCAAAGTAATTCTTCTTTTGGATCTTTATCATATGGTTTAGCACCGGGAAAACCTTTAATTGTACCCTTTTCTAATTTATAATCTTCTAATTCTTTTGGATCAATGCCATCGGGATTAATAATAGCTGCATCATATTCAAGTACACCAACACATTTTGCACCATGTCGAGTTAAATAACGTGTAGAATGAAGACCAACATTTCCAAAACCCTAAAAA